TTTTGTCTTTTTTCCATGTCCGGCAATGGATCGCAACCCTCAGTGTCGTCCCCGCACTGGACCGGGACCGGCAACGGGATCGCAACCCTCGGTGTTGCCCCCGCGCCTCGCTCAGCCAGTGAGCGGGAACCGGTCTGTATGCGGGATCCGAACCCTCGACGGGAGCGCCGCCGCGCTTCCCAAGCGGCGCACTAGCGCAGTGCGCCACCGGGCCGGCCCTACTTTTTGTCTTCTTAACAACATATATTTCCAGGAGTATTATTCCTAAATTAACGTGAAAATGCTAATAAATAATCTTTGATTAAGTAAGACCCATGATTCTCTTTATTTTCCTTGTTTCAGTGCTACATATGCACGGCCCTCACAGTTCTCAGTCAGAGTCCACAGAAAAACAGCCTAAGTCCAAACAATTAGGAAAATCTTTTGTGATATCTTATCAACTTGCCAGGCCAAAAAAACATTTTCAGAGTTCTAAAATGCCACCTATAGAACAAATTGGTAAGGATAACTTAATTGTACCTTTAGTAAATTTAATAAAAAGTCTGCTCTTAAGGAGTTTATGAATGAAATATCAAACTACTTTCAAGGAATTGAATCATTTAATAGTGTGGGTGGTGCCATCTGCCCCCAGCTGGAATTGTGAGCTGATGCTCTGGGTTATTTCTTACAGCTAAAAGCAAGTACTGGGGTATCTTCCAATGACGGGCACTATGCTAGGTTAATCAAGAAAGATGATGATGAGGAGGACAATGATAAAAAGGTTGAAGTAAAGACTTCCTGATGGGAAGTTATGGGTAGGACAGATGCTCAGCTGGAATGAAATAACCAACGGAAGGATAGCCTAATATTAACAGATCCTTTTCTAACAGTTGCAGTTCCTACAACGTAAATATATACCATATATCCATCTATATCATATGGTATGTAAGCAAAGTGAACCTCTACTACTAACAAGGTGTTGAATGTTTTGGTTCTTTAAATCAGGCGCTCCAAACTCAAATGCCTACAGGAGTCAAGTGCACAGTATAAATGAAGGTGAGGTGGGCATGGTGGGAACTATGGCAAATTGGACAGTGTCTGCCCCGTCTAAATAAGCAGGGGCTACTGGAGCCAACCAGTTATTGCCATTGGGAATGCAGACCCAAGGAGCTGTTTTCAAGAGAAGCTAAAAGCCATTTTTATTTGAAAATTTCCCAAGTTTTAAATGTTGGCAATTATACACACACACGCATACACACATGCACACATGCACACACATTCTGAAGACCTAACAAAACACCTTTGCAAGTCCAGCACTACTACCAAGGGGCTGCCTATTTGCAATCTTTGCTTTATAGGGTATCTTCATTTCCACTTGTTCAGATTTAGTCAGATGAGGTGACACTGAGGCTTCAGCCTGGCCTTCAGAGTGCTCCGGATTCCACAGTTTGGCCCCAACCCATCTCTCCCAACTTCTCCCTCTGGTTTCTACCCTCCCTCTATAAGTCAACCAGCTTGGCCCTTGCCAATACAAACTGGCCCTGGAACATGCCAGGCCCCTTTCTTTTGTGCTCCTGTATGAGTTTTCCCCTTTATTTGGAAAGCTTCCTCTTTATCTGTTAAAATCTTATGGGAGCAAGACAAGGATGCCCACTCTCACCACTCCCATTTAACACAGTACTGGAAGTATTAGCCAGAGCAATCAGGCAAGAGAAAGAAAGGGAATCCAGATTGGAAAAGATAAAGTCAAATTGTCCCTGCTGGGCCGGCCCGTGGCTCACTCGGTAGAGTGCGGTGCTGATAGGAGCAAGACAAGGATGCCCACTCTCACCACTCCCATTTAACACAGTACTGGAAGTATTAGCCAGAGCAATCAGGCAAGAGAAAGAAAGGGAATCCAGATTGGAAAAGATAAAGTCAAATTGTCCCTGCTGGGCCGGCCCGGTGGCGCACTGCTACAGTGCGCGGCTTGGGAGCTCGGCAGCGCTCCCGCCGAGGGTTCGGATCCCACATACAGACTCACTGGTTGAGCGAGGTGCGGGCGCAACACCGAGGGTTGCCATCCCGTTGCTGGTCCCGGTCCGGTACGGGCGCGACACTGAGGGTTGCGATCCGTTGCCGGTCACGAAAAAAGACAAAAAGGAAAAAATAAAATAAAACAAATTGTCCCTGCTTACAGATGACATGATCCTATATATAGAAAAGGCTCTATCAGAGTTGATAAACAATTTCTGTAAGGTGGGAGGATACAAAAATCAACATGCAAAAATCAGTAGCGTTTTTATACTCCAACAACAAACTGGCAGAAAAAGAAATCAAGAAGGCTAGCCAATTTACAATAGTCACCAAAAAAATAAATACCTAAGAATCAGTTTAACCAGGGAGGTGAAAGATGTCTGCAATGAGAACTACAAATCACTGCTCAAAGAAATTAAAGAGGACACAAAAAGATGAAAAGACATTCCATGCTCTAGGATTGGAAGAATAAACATTGTGAAAATGTCCATGCTACCCAAAGCTATCTACGGATTCAGTGCAATCCCCATCAAAATACCCATCACATTCTTCACAAAAATAGAAAAAACAATCCTAGAATTCATATGGAACAACAAAAGACCCCGAGAAGCCAAAGCAATCCCGAGCAAAAAAAAATAAAGCTGGAGACATAACACTACCAATGGAACAAATAGAGAACCAGGAATCAACCCACAAACTTATAGCCTACTGACCTTCGACAAAGGCACCAAGCACATACACTGGGGAAAAGACAGCCCCTTCAATAAATGGTGCTGGGAAAACTGGACACGCATCTGTAGAAGAATGAAACTAGACCCATATCTCTCACCATATATCAAAATCAACTCAAAATGGATTAAAGACTTAAATAAAAGATCTGAAACTATAAAATTCCTAAAAGAAAACACAGGGGATAGACTTCATGACATAGGACTGGGCAAAGACTATGAATATGACTCCAAATACACGGGCGACAAAAGGAAAAATAAACGAATAGGATTAATCAAACTAAAAAGCTTCTGGACAGAAAAAGAACAATTAACAGGGCAAAAAGACAACTTACAGAATGGTAGAAAATATTTGCAAATTATGCATCCGACAAAGGATTAATATCTAGAATATACAAGGAACTCACAACTTAACAGTAAAAAAAAAAAAAAATCCGATTAAAAAATGGACAAATAAGCTGAATAGGCATTTCTCAAAGGAAGATATACAAATGGACAACAGACACATGAAAAAATGCTCAACATCACTCAGCGCCAGGGAAATGCAAAACAAACCCACAATGAAATATCACCTCACCCCAGTTAGACTGGTATTATCGTCAAGACAGAGAACAACAAATGTTGGCGAGGATGCGGAGAGAAAGGGGTACCCAACCTGTAGTATTATATAAATGGATATTATCAGCTGGGAGAAATTCACTATCACTCAACTGGCTCTTGCCCCTCTGGAGATGTATTTTCCAAGTTACTGATTCCCTTTGTCCCATATTTACAGACTAACAGCAATCAACAGACAAGCCTGAAGTGCTTTTACTACCGTCTGGATTCTTACAGCAAATTAGTCCATGTAGAATCAATTTACTAATCTATACCTACTGGTGGTATTTCTTTTGTACTGTCTTTCAATTATGTAACTTCTCCTGACCTACCTGTCTGACCTTGAAGGCAGGAACCAGGTTGTCTACTGACCTGTGAGTTTCGTGTGCTGAGTATGTTCCCACAAGATAGGTGTTCAATGAATACATGTTGATTTGGTTGACTATACAAATCACATTCTGTACTACAGGAGTTCTATGAACAACCATTGCTTTTTAAGAAGTGCCTGATTTATATAAACCCGAACGCTTTTACTTGCAAAACTGTTATAAACTCTTTTCTGCAGTTCAGGCTGGAGGATAGTGGCTGGTGAAGAATATATACAGCAAACCAGGAATGGAATAAACTTTGCATACTGGAAAGTGCACAATGCAAATGAGATAATTTTGGGGGCTGTCATTGGTATTGCTTTAAAAGACTTTATACTGAAAGTACTTAAGGCAGTAGCAAAACTCCTGCTCTGCAGAAGGCAAGTCAGTGTTGTTGTTGTTTTTTTTTTTTCCTTTTTGTCTTTTTTCATGACCAGCAACGGATCGCAACCCTCAGTGTCGCGCCCATACCGGACCGGGACCAGCAACGGGATCGCAACCCTCGGTGTTGCCCCCGCACCTCGCTCAGCCAGTGAGCGGCTGGTCTGTATGTGGGATCTGAACCCTCGGCGGGAGCGCTGCCGCACTTCCCAAGCGGCGCACTGTAGCAGTGTGCCACCGGGCCGGCCCAAGTCAGTGTTGTTCCTTTATTAAGAAGCCTCGAGATACCTACTATGATTTTGTCTGGAACCACATTTCTGACAAGTTGTTTCAGTACTGGCCAGTCATTCCGACCAATGAAGTTCAGTCCTGATCATCACATGTGGACACCAGACACCCCCTCTACCTGGTGTGGCCATTTAAGACCATGGAGACTCACCAAGAGGGTAAGGAGCAAAGGTGTTGGGTGAAGACTGCTGCTCTTTGGTCTGCAGGTCAGGTAGGCCGGGAGCTTGGGGGTGAGGGGGGAAGCTGTCCATGGCCGATTTGCCTGCAGAGGGGTGCAGAGACAGGTGCGGCGGGGGTGGCGGCGGCGGCGGCTGCTTCACGAGCAGGGCCTGGGCCAGCTGGCGCTGGTGCTGCTGGATCTGCTGCTGCAGATTAGTGATTGTGCGTGCAACCTGGCAGGTGGAGACATATGCACACTTTAGCCAAGAGGGAAGTGGTGTGCATGGCTTGTCTACAGATAAAAGTGCATTCTCCACTGTTTTCACACCAAGGCCACCACCGGCTGGGCCAACGTCCTCCCAAAGCTAGCTGATCTCAGGACTTTTCAAAAGGGAGGCTCAGCTAGAGCAAAATCAATGACAATCTAATAGTTCATCAATTAATATGTCTCCTATCAGGAAAAATTATAACTAATGACAAAAAACAATGTGGGTGACACCTACTTGCTGCTCCTGTTGTCTCAGGGGTCCGGAGACATTACGCTGGGCCTGTAGCATCTGCTGCTGGATTTGTAAACGTTGGTATGCCTGTCAACAGGAAAATAATTGAGATATTGTAAGAAACCATCAACAAATGGTTCAACTTCCTGACGTTAGAAAAAAAAAAAGAGAGAGAGAGAAATTGGCTAAAACACTTGGTCTCCTAATACTTTTATTTACATATTATGGAGGCACAAACCATTTTCAAAAGGATAAATGTCGGGCCAGCCCGGTGGCGCACTGCCACAGTGCGCCGCTTGGAAAGTGGGGCAGCGCTCCCGCCGAGGGTTCAGATGCCACATACAGACCGGCCGCTCACTGGCTGAGCGAGGTGCGGGAGCAACACCGAGGGTTGCGATCCCGTAGCCGGTCCCGGTCCGGTACGAGCGCAACACTGAGGGTTGCGATCTGTTGCCGGACACAAAAAAAGACAAAAAGGAAAAAAAAAAAAAAAAAAGGATAAATGTCTTACCAAAATTTTTTAGTGCACTGACTTTTAAAAAGTAACTAAGTCAAAACCCCTGTTTAGTGTTGGTAATGAGGTGTGTCAGCTAATATTTTTCAGTTAATGGAGATCGAAATTCTTCTGCTCAATTCATAGAAACTAAAATTAAAAAAAGGAAAATATTTATTCTTATAATGATACACACTAAAGTCCAGAATGGCTCAGACGACATGGCAGTGTACTGGTAATAGGCTGTTCCAAATAATCAAAGAAAAATACGTATTAAAGAGCTCTTAAGTATTTGGAGGCCATGTGATTATCTCAGTCAACATCTGGAGAACCAAAGCTACAGGGGAACCTGAAATACAGATTTCTGGGCACTTTTGTTACATAAACCTGCCATCTACAAAGCTGGCGAAAATGATCACAATTTTCTTCTGTACACCAGTACAGAAGGTTTGATCACATGATTGTTTCGAACTGTTGGTTGGGTATTGTAAATTTTTTTCTTATAACATGTATTTTTGGGGATTTTTTGGCAAGGGGACTCCAAATAAAGGTGGAGATTATACTATTAGAAATGCCTCGTTAATCTGTAAATTACGGAGGAATAAAATACTGCACTTAAGTGAATCCTTATAGATCCTAAAAGTTAATCTTAGGAAGCACTGAAACTTTATTTTTTTAATTTTCCTGGAAAAAATATTAATAATAATAAAGTACATTGTTTTAGAAACAGAATACACTATACACGATTCAACATTTTCAGAGGGCCAGCCCCCATTGCCCAGATGCAGGCAAGAAACAGACCATGCCCAGGGTCCCTGGGCAGGAGCCAAGGGCAGCATCCCCCGCCGGGAAACAGGCAAGGAGCATGCTGAAAACACCAGTTCCTTGTGGGTGGCCCACCACAGCCACTGCCATAGAAATGGCTGCCACAAAAGCAGCTGGACGCCACAGCCACTGTGCAGATGGTCCACCAGACACCTAACTGCAGGGACACAAGGATAGTCACCAGCAGAGACTGGAAAAAGAAGAGGATGTGTCTCTATCCTCAAAGCCCACTCCAGTGTAACAGAAGAAGCAACTGCTCTACTGTGCCCCTGCTTTATTTCTGATCTTGGTAATTTCTGTCTTCTTTTTTTCTTTGTCAGTCTAGACAAAGGTTTGCAAATTTTGTTGATCTTCTTAAAAGAATCAAAACAAAACAAAAAACTATTAAGCGGTTGACAAAGCACATTGATGTAAATATTTTAATTAAACATGAGCTTTACATAATTCTATGGTATAATAATCTTTATATATATTGTCTAACTTGTTAAATATGTAACTATCATTCATTTTCTCTGACAGATTTTGTTATGGGAGACTAAAATCAAGCTCAAAACTCATTTCTCAGAAAAAAACAATTTTCAAATATTTCCATGATGTCTTTCATACAATAATAGGGGTCAATAAAAACTTATTGTAGAACCAGAAGATTCTAGTACATCGGTGTGATAATCAGCTCTGTGCTGTGTCAGAATATAGCAGCACCTACAGCATCATCAGGGAGAAGGAGATTCTCCTCTGTAGCAATAACTCTAAACTAGCATGCTATTTAAACATGTGCCAATCCTCAGAGTTGCCTCCCTTCCTACTGTCAGTGCTGAAAGCACTGGGACTGCACACACACCTTGCCCGGCAGAGTGAGGCTGCACCGAAACACCAGGTGCATGGTCCCCTTTTTGATGGATAAAGAAACAGCCTCTAAGGGTTAAGCCATGGTACTGACCCCACATCTAGAGCTCTGTGTTCTCCATTGAAGCACTGACATACTCCTTGTGGAGAGTTTCCAGGACACTCTCTGCCTTCTACCCTCCCATCCTTCCCTGCTACTCACTGGAAATCCTGACATCAAACTTGTTAGATGTGTGTCTCAAAAACATAAAGGATGGGGAGTGAGGGCTCAAGCATGCTCTCATAAGCAAAGGTTTTATGTCAATGACTTCATGTCTTGAAGTCCCCGTCAACTTTTTTTTTTTGCTTCCTTCATAATTCCTGGTCATTTTCCAGGTGATGAGGTTGTTGGATAAGACTTCTAAATAAATCACGTGCCCACACATTAGAAAATGTATCTAGGGATACAACGTCATGGTGTTTTATGGTAAAATCAAATAAGATTGTTTGAAAATTAAAAATTCAAGATGTGTTAAATTATAAAACTTTCAAGAATTATGAAGTTACATCAATTGTTGTTGAGCAGTGTGACTGCCCTCAGGCATCTACCTCATGTAATGAAGTAACTTTCCTCCTATGTTTCTAGAGTGATATTTGTGTAAACCATCCTTGAAAGAATTGAGAAAACAGTCACTTAAATGGTTGTGTTCTGTGGCTTAGATAAGAAACTCTGGTGAAGAGCTCAAGTAAAAAGACATGCTTAATTCTAGTGGACTTTCTGAACACAAAGGGGCCAAAAAATTTACAAAGCTTAGTAAAGACACCTAAAGTGAAAAACTTACTAATTCATAAATAGTTTAAAAATTTCATGAAAGTCTCCCTGACATACCAGATGTGAAGAAAAGTGTTACAGTAACCACTTTCTGTGCAGTGTGTCTGTGTGGGCGCATGTGAGCGAATGGCAGGAGAGCCTCTTCCTTTACTCTGTAACATGGGTGGGTCCATCCACTCACCAGCTGCAGCTGATAGAGCTGGTTCAACATCGTCATATGCTGAGGATTAATTGGCGAGGTTAATAGTGCAGGGTTGAGACCAATGTTTTTTGCTGCAAACTGCAAAAGCTGTGCTTGAACCTGTTTAATAGAAAATATACTCTTAGTCATTTTGTATCTCTATTAAAATATTTACTCGCCTGTGAGGCTTTTTGAGATTCAAAACTGATTAATTAAATGACAACTACAGATTGGACTGGGGCTTCCTAGGACCCTGTCAAGTGTAGGTGCTCAGGAATTTACCTACCCCCTGCCCGTGGAAGCAGGCATTGTTCTCGATAGGCACCTAGCCTCTCTGTAGCTCTCCCCAGACCTGCCCCCAACTGCTGATCCCACCAGTCAAGGCCTGGCACTGGCTATTTCAATGTTTTCCAAAGGTGATACGTACCTTTATAGTACAGGTCTGCAGGATGATTTTAGTTGGACATGGTTGAGCATTTTTCACTTTAATAGTTGTCTAATGTGTATTAGAAAAATGTTGGTTTTTCTATTTATGGTAGACTTGTAAAGTTTTCTTTAAAAATAAATTTAAGTTAAAAAGGCAAGTCAATTTAAGAAAAAGATTATGCAATAGCACAGGTAATATGGAAATACAGATGTAATAGTGGAACGGTATATAGATGACTGATTTGGGATCATTAGCTAGTTTGCTAACTGTTCCTTCTGCTACTGCCTCTCAGACTGGGTGTACCAAGGCACTAGGTTTGGGCAGTGTGATGTGACTGGAAGTGGTCTGTGTAATTTTCAGGCCATCCACATAGGGTGCTGCCCAGACTCTCTCTTGCCTTCCTCCCTGCTGTCAGGAAACGGCTATGGCAGAGCTGCCCATAAGCCCAGAAATGCTTCTTTCCGTACCGTTACATGAGAGAAAGAGATGAATGTCTACCTAGTTTAAACTACTGCCTTTTGAGGCCTCTTTGTTATGGTGGCTTACCCTATATCCTAACTAACACATTTAACATTTATTTTACCAGGTTCCAGCTATCTCAACTCAGTGCATAAACCTAGGTTCAAACAATTATAGAGAGACAACTATTCCCAGCGAATTCTCCAATGCATCCTGCTCTTTTCTGTATGCCGAACTGTCGTCCCATATGCTATGGTCTCAGTGTTTGCGTCCCCCCGTCCCATATGCTATGGTCTCAGTGTTTGCGTCCCCCCAGATTCCTATGTTGACACCTAATCCCCACTGTGGTAGTGTTAGGAGGGAGGGCCTCTGGGAGGTGAGTAGGTCATGAGGGCTCTGATATCACACACGGGATTAGTGCCCTTATAAAGGAGGCTCAAGGGAGCTTGCTCGCCCCCTGTGCCAGGTGAGGACGCAACAGCAGTCACCATCTTTGAGGAACAGCTGTCATCAGACACCGAATCTTCTGGCACGTTCATCTCTGACTTCCCAGCCTTCAGAACCATGAGCAATAAATTCATGCTGTTTGTAATTACCCAGTCTAAGGTACTTTGTTATAGCAGCCGGAATCGATAAAGACATCATATGACAACAAACAAAACTGAAACTTAAATTTTATAAATAATAGAAGATTGACGGATTAGCATGTTCTCTTTTGGAACAGGTTGAAAATAAGGTCCCTGAGAAATCTCAAGTATTTTCCTGCTAGTGAAGGTCTCTTAGGGAAGAAAGTACTTCATTCCCTTCTCTGCCAAAAGAATGCTAGAATTTGGGGGGTGGGGGTGGGGAGGAATTCAAGAAGCTTTTGCTCTTCCCAGGGCAGGGCTACCTACAGTCTCCCTCCGCCCCCCAGAATTACATATCAAGCAGGGCTCTGAGTTATCTCAGAGTAATTGATTATTGAATATTACAGGGGTAATTAAAAACACAACCCAAAGCCTAAAATTTTGGAATGTTCTAAAAGTCAATGATAACATAAAAAAATACCTTAGGCCTTAGAGCTATGCAAAACAATATCCTTAATTCTATTTGATCTTTTTTTCTTAAGAATCTCTATGGGCAAAAATAATCTAATACTAAATACTGAATGTAACTAAAAATTATAATGTATACAGTAGGTCCTTTGTATTCATGGGTTCTGCATATGTAGATTCAAGCAACCAAGGACTGAAAATATTCAGAACAAATTGCATCTGTACTAAATATGTACAGATTTTTTCTTGTTAATATTCCCTAAACACTACAGTACAACTCTTTACATAGCATTTATTACGCATTTATTACATTGTATTACGTATAACAAGTAATCTAGAGATGATCTGAAAGTATATGGGAGGATGTGTATAGGTTATATATAAATACTACGCCATTTTACATCAGGGATTCAAGCATTCTCTGATCTTTGTATCTGTGGGAAGTCTTGGAACCAATTCCCCATGGACACCGAGGGACGACTGTATACTATTATATATGATCAGATTTAGTTTCACACTAAAGCATCATTCAATCTTTGGTTGCTTCTAAGCAATTTCCTTTACATTCTAAGCAATACTTTGGCTTGTCACTTTCCTATTCCATCAGTCTAGGAGAATTCACTGGATTCACCTGAACAATTATCTCAAGCAAGACCAGGACACAATGACATCAGTGGTAGTGTGGTGGGCACATCTTTCCCCTTCTCAATGTTGCTTCTTACCAAGCTGATGCCTGACCCTGGTTTATGTGGTTGAGGCTCTCCAAGGAGCAAGCTCTGAAAATTCCTGGGGCAGGAGAATAAAGTCTGCCACTTTATAGGTTAAAAACTGGAAGGCCACCTCTTAGAAGTGGGTTACTTTGGCTCTCACTTTAAAAAGTTACTTTGTTGTGGCAAAAGACCCCAGAAAATGGCCACATCTGTGTCTCCTGGTTCAGCAACGCTTGGACATGGGTCTGACCTGAGGGGATAGAAACTGAGGCACTTGAGCACGGAGACTGGGCTGGGAGGAGTTAAGAGGCTGCACTGGTGGCTGTGGTGGCTGCTGCATGGTCCTGGCTTGTGCTGCTCCGCTATTGCCAAACATACCCAGATTGCCACTCGGTATCTGCAGGGAGACAGAAGGAGACTTGTTAAAAAGGCAGTGGCAGATGCAGGAGTTAGAGTACCACTGTTTGGAGGTGGGGTGAAACTGTTCCTGAATTTGAATGCAAAATTGTTTCTACTTCCTACCCAAGTGAATTTTTAATGAGTGTTTTTGATATTGTTACAGATGATGGAAAATCGGGCCATGAAGTTTGCCTATGTTTTGAAATCACAGAAGCCACCCTACAGTGCCAATTTTAATGTGTGCCAGAACAAGGCTATCATACTCAACCACAATAATACAGTGTTTCAAACAATAGCAACGTGAACATAGCCATCTGGACAACATTCATTTCCAAAAAGATATCTGTGATAAGAGGTAAAGAGTAATAATGGACCAGATGGTTTGCTCAGTGGTTAGAGCGCAGCCTCATAACACTAAGGTCAAGGGTTTGGATTCCCATACTGGCCAGCTGCCAAAAAAAAAAAAAAAAGACTACTTATGGGAATTACTAACCTAAGAGAATAGCAAGATTTTTGAGTAAGAAATATAACTATTATTTCAACAAATGCTGAAATTGAATAAACTGACAAATTCTGGTCGTTAACTCAGAGTTAAATATAATACATATATTTTAGAAGTATTTTCCACTTTACATAATGAGGTACCTAACAAATAGGTGAAGTAAGACAACCCACTGCTTATCTCAGGAAGAGCTGTCCGAAAGGCACTGAGTAGAAAACCCTGCTTTGTACCTAACGCCAGTCCCTACACCCCTGCTGGGTTGGTGACTCTAAGATGGCAGAAATCTGAAATGCAGATTTTCCACTAAACTACCACCAGGGTCAGCAATGTAACATCACTAGGATCATGACACTGGGGAGATGCTGAGAGAGGAAGGGGCACTGTTGACAATGATACTGGGATAACAGTCACACATGGGCTGTTCAGGCACAGCAAACATCACAGTGTCTACTTAAAGACAAGTCTTGAAGGTGTGAGTGTGCCAACCTCATCAAAAAGAAAATCAGCAAAGGACGTCCTACAGACAGGGACAGCATTACTTGTTTGTTTGTCATTTCGTATTAGAGAATCTACGGGTGAGAACTGAGACCAAGTGGCAAACCATCGAAACTCTCAGGCCTTCCTTTAGTAACGTCTAACAAGTGATTTTCACCTTTCCCCAAGAGTGTTGAGGGTAGGAAAAAGAAATGCCAGTGTGACTCTGAAAATCACCCTGCAAGGGATGTCATCTCTATTTCTGGGGAAAAGGGGAGAATGTGGAGTTTTCTTGCAGATCAATGTATTTAAAGCTTTGACTGCCAAGAGAAAGAGGACAGGCACCACCTTGATCTTTGAACGGATCTGGTAGCTTGAAGACTACTCTGTAATACATTACCATTTCAACTAGCAGTAAGTCAGTACCAGGGCTGCTGCTGAGAACTCGAGTATGTTTTAGTTAAGTTTAAGAAGAAATACAACTTTGAAGCATTCTTATCACACAATTAAATTTCAAGAGCTGTTATTTAACTCTTGATTCCTTATAGTCTTTCTTTTTTGGTAGGGGGCTGGCCATGAACCCTTGACCATGGTGTATAACACCACACTCTAACCGACAGAGCTAACTGGCCAGCCCTCCTTGTAGTATTGCAACTACCTTTACATATTCGATTATATTTTTCAATAGAGGTATTAACTAAGAATAAGAATGTTTATGTCTCTTTTTTTTTTTTGGGCAGCTGGCTGGTACAGGGAGACAAACCTTTGACCTTGGTGCTATCAGCACCACACTTTCCCAAGTGAGCCACCTGGTCAGCCCCTCAAACACAGTTTTTAAAACAAAGACCACATTCTGTTCTCTCCCAATAGCCTTACCTGTCTAGAAGAATTCAAGTTTTGCATGCCCAGCCCTGAGGCAATCCCACCCAGGGCCTGATTGGGGAGTGCACTGTTTGAAAGGGGGAGCTTCAGGCTTGGGGAAGGCAAAAACGGTGAAGTCGTGGGCTCTTCCACGAGGCCGCCATCCTGATTGGAGAAAGAAAGGGTGAGCTGTGTGCAGTGTCCATCAGCAGACAAAGCACCATATAGTTTCCCAAGGAAATAGAAAAGGAGATGGATGAATAAAAATAAAAAGATCAAAAAAGTGTGGATAATAAGGGAATGGAGAATATGGGCAAAAGGAAGAGGGGAAAAAGAAAAAGAGAAATAGGATTAAGATGCTGTTTTCATTATTAAAATATCTTACAAACATACATATTAGCTTCTAATATTCTCATACATTATTACCCGTGTTGGGCAGGAGTAAGGAGAAAGGGACAGAAACACTGGTAAAAGTCTTACATGGAAAACACTCTATACCAATTTTCAAATAACCTGGTTCTTTCTGAGAAGTTATTATCAAGGCTCTAGGTATACATTAGGGTGAATTCTACTGACATTCAACTGTTTTTGACCTACAAACCCAGCAATTTCATAGACTTTAACCTAATAAGAGGGTAAGTTATAAAACAGAAACCTATTAATCTTTTTTTATGCCAGGCCCTGTGCAAACTTATCTCATCTAGTGTCACAACCAGCCTGCAGCATTATTCCATGTTTTAAAGATAAGGAAATAGGTCAGGGTCCCATAATTGAGGTTAACAGATTTAACAAATAAAAATACAGTACGCAAGTGAAATTGGGATTTCAGATGAACAAACAATTACTTTTTTAGTGTAAGTATGTTCCAAAAATTATTCGTTGTTTATCTTAAATCCCAATGTCACAGGGCATCTTGTACCTGATCACTGGCCACACTGGTGAGGGCAGAAGACTATGCCTCACTCTGGGCCACTGAGCAGCTACAGCCTTCTGCAGTGTACCGTGTGGTAGAGGACTCTGAGAACAGAGATAAAGCCCCATCAGTGACAGGAAGACTCCTCCCCTCCGTGAGTCTTTCTGTTTTTCTGTTGTTGTTGTCATTTAAACGTATCCTTTCTTGCTTTAATTTTATTTTCAAGGGTCAACATTTTGATTGATGCTTTCCCCCGCTTTTCCAGTCACCCCAGTCTAGAGAGGGGACACATGACATCACTGAAAGGACTGAGTGGTGGCTGGGACTTGCTAAACATCCAGGGAGCTTTCCACAGACACCTGTGGTGGTCACTAATGTGGCTGATCAGCAAGGGCCAGCAAGACACAGTGCTCAAGCCCCATCACTTCTAATCTCTTCTTCTGAGGCTAAACATGTAACATATCATCCAAATGGAAGAACTATGGGGCTGGCCCGTGGCTCACTCGGGAGAGTGTGGTGCTGATAACACCAAGGCCACGGGTTCGGATCCCATATAGGGATGGCCAGTTGCTCACTGGGTGAGCGTGGTGCTGACAACACCAAGTCAAGGGTTAAGATCCCCTTACCGGTCATCTTTTAGAAAAAAAAAAAACAAAAAAAACAAATGGAAGAACTATGTTTTTTTGTTTGTTTGTATTTTGGGTTTTTTTTGGCAGCTGGCTGGTGCATATGTTTTTAAAATGAGATGCTAACATAGAAATTTGATGACCCTTATCTGTTGGACAAACTGAAGCAGCTAACCAGCCAAGTTCACAAAATAAAAATGAAAATCAGTTTTCAATTTCAGCATTTTTCATTCCTAGCAACATCATATGAAATATAACATTGTCTCCCTTGAGTTAAACATTCATATGAGGGTACTTCCAAAAGTTCAGGGAAAGATACATATTTTCTTTCAATTCTATTTTCCATGAACTTTTTGAAGTATCCTCATATGTATTAGAAAAAATGGATAAAAGTCACTTGAAGTGACAGTCCAGCAAGCTTTTAATCTGGCTTGTGTTAAGGATACAGTTAAAGTGAAAAAACTTTCGGGCCGGCCCGGTGGCGCACTGCGCTTGTGCGCCGCTTGGGAAGCGCGGCGGCGCTCCCGTCGAGGGTTCGGATCCCACATACAGACCGGTTCCCGCTCACTGGCTGAGCGAGGCGCGGGGGCAACACCGAGGGTTGCGATCCCGTTGCCGGTCCCGGTCCGGTACGGGGGCAACACTGAGGGTTGCAAACCGTTGCCGGACACGGAAAAAGACAAAAAAAAAAAAAAAAAAAAAAAAAAAAAGTGAAAAAACTTTCCTATTAAAAAAACAAACAAAAAAACCACCTAAATTCATACCTTGTCAAGAAAGGTGGGGCGGTCCATGGAAGACTCTTTGGAGACTGGTGGGCGGCAGCCAAGGGGTTTGGTGACCATTCCATTATAGTCAGTCACTCCCAGTCCACGCTTGTCCATGTCCACCTTCTTTTCCAGCAGAGCGCCTGGAGCACAACAAACACAACAACACTGAAAACAGAACGCCCGATGAACATCAGTCCGAGCACTGGGCACAAGACAGGCACAAGCTAAAGCCTCAGGGAGGGAGGAAGACGCCTCGACCCCTCAGAAAAAAGGGAAGCCGGGGGATAAAGAGAGCACTTGGCTCTACTATGGCTGAGCCTGACAGCTGGCTCATCACCAGCACATCTCCGGTTCACGCACGTCTGTGGTCTGACCCTGCCTGCCCTCCGCTCCTCTCCACTCCAGCCACTGGCCACTGCTGACCCCTCCGGGGCTGGGCCGGTCTTCTCTCCCCAGGGCTGCCCCCGTTACTTTCTCAGGGCCTCCGCAATTGTCCTGTCTAACACGGCTCCTATCCTGCCTCACGGCCATCACTTCCTATGTTATTTACAAGGACTCTTCCCTGATGTTGGCGAGACAGACACTGTTTCTGTCCCTGTGAGTCTTTTAACCTAGGGACTAGTACTTGTTTAGCTTTAACTTTGTGCTAGGTCACAATTCTAAGAAGTCAGAATTCATTCCCTCCAGCTCACACTGATTCTTCCTGCCCTGGCAGTCTGTGTCATACATGTCAGCACTTGCATGTGATTGTATAGTCAGTCTATTCTCACTATTCATAGATTCTGTTTTTGTAAATTCACCTGCTTACTAAAAATTATTTATAACCCTCAAATTAATTATTGTGGCACTTTTGTGGTCATTTGTGGACATGGACAGATTGGTGAAAACTTTGAGTCGCCTGATGCTCATGTTCCCAGCTCAGGTCAAACAAGCTAATGCTCAGCCTTCTTGTTTCAGATCTTACACTGTAAAAAGTGCCCTTTTTGTGGTCCTTTTAGTAACATGTTTTTCATATTTTTGTGCTTTCTGTTGGTGCTTTCAATGTTTAAAATGGTCCCCCAGTGTAGTGAAGTGCTGTCTAGTGCTCTTAAGCACAAGAAGGCTGTGATGTGCCTTATAGAGAAAACATGTGTGTTTGAGAAGCTTCACTCAGGCACAAGTTTGTATCACTGTTGGCAGTGAGTTCGGTATTAATGAATCAATGGTCCAGTACATCCAGAAAAAGGAAGAGAAAATTCACTGAGCTGTAAGTAAGTGAAGCTGCTCAGAAAGTGCTAAAGTAACATCTATAGTATGTGATAAAGCTATGGAAAAGACGGAAAAGCAGCTAAATTTGTGGATTCCTGAGATAATGAATGATTAATAAAAGCATAGTGGATAACAATGCTATAAGTCTAAGCCAAAGAAATTTATGGTCGCACTATCCAGGGTGAGAAAAATGTTAAACCCATTCTTGGCTCATGTTTGATCATAAAGAAATATGGCATATAATTACTTTGAGAAATATGTATTAAATAGAGTGTCTTGAAACAGAAACACACACAAAATAAGGTTGAATACTGATCAGTTGATAAAAATGTGGCCAGATGCTCACAGGAACCCAACCCTGTATTTCCCCTAAGAGCACTGCTTCAGTGTTGGTTAATTCAGTGTTTGTGGCAACTTTATAGAATATAACTATTTGGAATAATGAGAATCGACTGTATTTCACATATAAATATTTAACATAATAATAATTATTTTTAAAGCATCTCCAGAACTAGGGTTGCTTGTTCCTTGGCAGTAACTCTCATGTTTCAATAAGAGTAGGTGCTTGGCCAGCATGGTGATGCTCCTGTTGGCACCTTAGTGGGCCCACTCTGGGGTAAGGCATGAGGAATTTGCTCCATTAGTACCAAAGGAAGTCTGCCATGTGGTCTAGAGCCTCTCTTCAAGAGCATCATTATTACCTCTCCTCAAAATAGTGGGAAAAAAGTCATCTATTAATTGAAGTACTGGGAAAAAGTGAAAAGAGCAAACATGCTTCAAATATGGCACTGGCCATTTGTCTGCAAAGCTCACTGGCCCCAAAGGACTCACTCTGTGATTAGCGTGTGCGTCCTATGGCTGCTCTTTCACTGTGGCCTGGTCCTGTCTACCCAGTATGTATTTAACTATCAGTCCATGATCACAATTAAATGCTCTGGAAAGTAAAACTTCACCAATAGGTACCTTTTAAAAAAGTGTGCTTTAAGTATGTCAATATTACTTACTCATGGCCTGATCAAGATTCATATTGTTACTCTTCAAGGCCTCTTCAGCTGGCTCTCTCTGTGTAGAAAAATATAGTTTCACTAGGAGTGCACATTAACAAAAGGAAAAGCCTGCAAACAGTTTAATCACTATCAACTTAGAAAAATAGTATTAGGTTTTGGAACTGGAAATACTCTCTCTGCTGGTGAAGTTAGAGGTAAATGTTTTTAAATAAAAAAATACTTGTAACAAAAAAGTATTGAGTTGATTTTTAGAATAAGAAACTTGTATTTAACACTTTAGAAACAAAATGTAGAGTGTCAGTCAAACCTTGTAAGTACACCCATAATCGCTTTCTATACAATGCTGAGTAGCAATTGATTCAGCTAGGATGCAATCTGAGCCAGGACAGCAGAGCCACAGACACTGACACGTGCGGACAGGGAGGGCAGCACAGACCCCTGCCCCAACAAGGCACATCTCTATCCACCTCTCTCTAGTGCCAGCAGCATGTTAAAGTCACTTTCAGAGCGCAGAGTTTCCTTTCCTACTCTATGAACCCTAGCACCAACAACTTTTCATGAAGAAATAGAAAAATAAAACAAAACGAGTAGACTCATTTTGACAATTCTCCCTATGATTAGAACAGACTAATCTCAGTGGATAGTCAAGGCCACCAGAGCACTGTGATAACCACAACAGTGTCAATCTGGACTCCCTGCAGGCCTGGCCATCCTCCTGTCATCTCGCGCAGGGAGATGCTGGGCCACAGAGGCAGCACCCGGCCTGGTGCAAAGGGTCTGTGCCCCGTGTGAAGGGTGAGTGCCCTCCTCTACACGGAGGCCACTCCAGACTCATTCTTTTAGGCTCATCCAAGTAATCAAAAGATAAATGCTCACTTGAATAAGAATTTGGAAAGAACACTTTTGAAGGAAATACATGGCAAATATGGGCAACGTCCCTCACTATCTGAATTCCTGTCGTCCAATCTTAGGAACTGAACAGATTTCGATATACTTTTGTGAGACTACCCTGTGATCTGAATTCTCCCTACACATGACTGGAAACTCAGGAACTAAATAGGTTTGGTTAGAACACTTTTTCTGGATATGAAGCTTCAGTACTTTCTACCAAGTTTTCTCTTATGATCTTTGTCAATCTACTGCATAAACTAATAATATTAACTTCTAATTATAAACTAAAATATAAAACTGTATAAATCAATGAAAATTAAAAATCACACAGCATTTTTTACTCTAGGAAAAGGTTCCTACACCTTTCTTAAAAGAAATTATGTGGGTCTCTGCAATGACCCATGTAATTTCAAAGCAATGATTTCTAACCCAAACTGTCCAGTAAAAGGGGAATTTAAGAGTTAGATCATGTTAATAATCTCATCCCTCAAACAGTCTTCCTGCCTTGCCACACACAATGAGGACAGGTAGGAAACAGGTTATTCATTTCAGGAGCATGGTAGGTAGCAGTAAAAGAAGCTGCCAGTTACCGGGAAGCCCATGTCTGTGAGTTGTTTGGTCAGCCGGCTCATGATCCAGGCCTCGTCCTGCTTGCCAGATGTCTTCATGCCCTAGAACAAAGTGTAGCCAGGGGGAAGTCTAGAGTTACATTGGAATGCATTTCTTCTAGAAATGGGAGACAGTCTAAATTAGTGGTAATTTAAAAGTCAGAGAATCTAGGGCCGGCCCGGTGGCGCACTGCTACAGTGCACTGCTTGGGAAGTGTGGCGGCGCTCCCGCCGAGGGTTCGGATCCCACATACAGACCGGCCGCTCACTGGCTGAGCGAGGAGCGGAGGCAACACCGAAGGTTGCGATCCCGTAGCCGGTCCCGGTCCGGTGCGGGCGCAACACTGAGGGTTGCGATCCGTTGGACAAAAAGACAAAAATGTTGAACAGTCCTGTAACCCAGAAGTCCCTGGCAGTATTTTATGGATAATACAATGGAAGGCTTCAGGGTGCATCTGCAGGCTGGTATATGTGTGTAATTAAAGGACGTTTAAAAAAGCAGGGTAATTATTTCTTTCCTGTAGAATTAATTTAGTTCATCACAAATATATACTACTTCCATTATCAAATAATCATAAGGAGTGACTCCTTGAACATGGCCCTATGTGAAGTTTGCTAAAAATTACATGATTTTTGCCCTTTTATAAGCTTTATTCTAAATAATGACAAAACACAGGGGGGCTTGCTGCAATGAATGAAAAGGCAACAAGAAAGGAGGAAAAAACCTGTTAATTTTTTTAACTATTCATTCCGTATAGCCTTTGGGGTAGAGAAAAGGAGTAAGTAGGAAAATGTCAATGAGGGAGAGGTGGAGGAGAAAAGCCAACCATAAAAAGAAAGAGCAGCACACGGCTGGCCGGTTGGCTCAGTTGGTTAGAGCGTGGTGTTGATAACACCAAGGTCAAAGGATTTGGATCCCTGTACCAGCCAGCTGCAAAAAAAAAAAAAAAAAAAAAAAAAAGGGGGCAGCAAAGAGGGGAGGGGCCCAAAGGCACCACAAAAGAGCCAGCGGGCAGGACGGAAACCCTTCTCAATAATTTTCCTCCAATTCTATAATTACAAAGGCTCTAATGATGCATTAATACAATGTTAAGAAATCCCCCTCTATGAATATTCTTCACAGTGCTTTTCAAAACTGAGCCTGCCATAACAATATAATGGAGCTATATAAACTACCAGGCTTTCTTTCTTCAAGGAAGCAGCTTATTTTGGGGTTATTCTAATTATTACTATTCTGCTAGAGCCAGATTAGCCACGTTTATACAACATTTTAATTTACCAATTTGGTAATTCTGGTCCCATTACTAATACTAACCACATTATTCACCAGCCCAATTGTAAAAAGACTTCTTTTTGATGTTTGTAATCACTTCTACTCCTGATGAACAGAGAGCCTTGATTTTAGTTTCTGGGTTCAGCTTACCGCTAACTGCTTTTTAAAACTAATTTTTAAAAAACATTCACATGATTCAAAAGTATAAAAAAAGTATAAGGAAAGAATCTTTGTTTCTCACCACCCCATCTGCTTAGCTCCTATTCTCTCCAAGAGGAAACCACTCTCAGCCGTTTCTTATTTATCCTTCTAGAGAATTTAAAACATTGTACAAAAGCTGTTATCTGCGCGTGTGTGTACATACACACACAAACTTTTTTTCTTCTTCTTTTCCCCAACAAAGTTGGTAATGTGCTATACACATTTTTCTGTACCTTGCTTTATTTAGTAATCCCTTCATTACACACACACACACACACACACACAAGAGGGTACTTCAAAAAGTTTGTGGAAAAATAGATTTGAAAGATAATACTCATCTCAAATAATCCTCATAAAAAGAAGATAATACAAATCTTTCCGTTAACACACACACGAGGGTACTTTAAATTTTACACATATATGTAAAATGTATATATATATGTAAAAATACAATATATAATATTATATATAAAATATATATGTAATACAATACATAATATTATATATAAAATATATATGTAGGATTTATATATGTGTGTAGAATTTCCTTGAAAAAATGTTTAGCTTTCCATAAAATGGATGTGGCATAATTTAACTCGTTACCCCATCAATGCACATTTAAGTTACTTTCATTTGGATCATCTGCAATTCACATTCTTTGCTTATTTTTCTATTGGGTTACTGGCTGATTTAAAAAAAAATCAATTTCTAGAAATTTTCCTTATGTGTAAGGGAGACCAGCCCTCTCTGTAATCTGAGTTACTAATATTTTTTTCCAGTTTGCTATTTGTCTTTTGACTTTGATCATGGTATTTTCTGTCATATTCAGTTTTTATGTTCATCTTTTAAAATCTAAAAATCGGGCCGGCCCGTGGCTCACTCGGGAGAGTGCGGTGCTGATAACACCAAGGCCCCGGGTTCGGATCCCTAAAAAAAAAAAAAAATTAAAACAAAAAAATAAATAAAAAAAAAAAAAAATAAAACAAAAAAAAAAATAAAAAAAAAATAAAATAAAATCTAAAAATCTTTTATTTTATGGCTTTTAGATAATTCTTTCAGGTTTTTATAATGTTTTTCATATCCCACTTGTTTCAAGATTACTTAATGATCTACCTCAGCAGTTCTCAAGTGCTTTGGTTTCAGGACCCCATTACATTCTCTTAAAGATTGAGGATCGCAAGGAACTTTCATTTATATGAGGTGTGTCTATTGATATTGGCTGTATTAGAAAGTAAAACTGAGAGATTTTAAAAATTTTATTAATTTCATTTAAAAATAATGCCAAACCCATTACATGTCAACATAAATAACATCTTTTAAATGAAAAAATAACTATACTTTCTAAAACAAAAATTTTTAGTGAGAAAAGCAGCACTGTTTTGCCTTTGTAAATGTCTATAACGTCTGGCTTAGCAGAAGCGGCTTGATTCTCATGCGTGTTTCTGTACACACTGTGCTGTGATATCAGCATCTGTGGACAACTCATCCTATACTGAGGGGAGAAATGAATGAAAAAGACAAGGTTTAGTATTGTCATTAAATAATCTTGACCTTGCCGACCCTCCTAAAAGGGACTCAGAGACCTCCAAGGTCCTAAGATCACTTTAAGAACCTCAGGTCTATCTTTTCATTGGGGATTCATTTCACTCATTGGAGATATCACTGTTAAACTAGAAGTGTTTTAGATTCAGAGTTTATTATCTTTAAGAGTGTTGTGCATACCTTTTGAAGTCCTTTTTTGGGGGCATTCCCCCAGGAACTGCAGGAGGAGGTGCTTTCTTGGGAAGCAGCATTATTCCACATGTCGCCTTCTTCATCCTCCCACTGGCTGGTACCGAGGTTCACTTCATCCCCACCACTGCCCCAGCCTTCTTGCATAGATTTTGAAGCTAGAAAGAGTAAATGTGAACTTATCAAATTCTCCATCCCTAAAGTAGACAATGCTTCATTATAAGTAATTTAGGGGTGGTAGGCTAAAAGGGGTATACTGCAATCTACCTATTTACTACTTCATTTCCCCCAGACCTAAGAATTGAGTTTCTCTTACTAGATACGTAATATATATGTATATTTTTTTCTTCAAACTCCAGCTATTTGTAGTCTGTGCTGTTCCAAACTTCCTTAACAAAGTATAGATTATTTTGGAACACTGACATTCTAAAAATAAGTCTTAGGGGGCTACAGGAAAAGATGGCAATATCTACATGGTATGAAAAGGCTACTAAAATGTAGACTCCTGAAAAATGTCATCGTCCTTGGTGTGGTTCTTAATCACTGCTGATCCAAACTTGTGAGCATTATGTCATATAGACAGTGCTTCACAAACTTGACCATATATTAGTGTCAGCTGGGGATCATGTGAAATGCAGCAGGTCTGAGGCTGGGCCCAGCAGCATGCATTTCTGACAAGCTCCCAGGAGATGCTCACAGATCAGCAAGATATAGGCCTTAGGCAGATGGAGCTACAAATTGACTACTGAGTTTTAAACTCAGGATGATTTTTTTTCTCCTTCCTTAAAATACAAAGTGAATTTTGGTGTCAAAGTTACCCCAAATTTTCACTTCTTAGAAGAACTTGAAGAAGGCTAAAGACTAAGTGATAGTACAGTTAGCTGGGGCCTTTAAGGTGATGAAGATATGATGCTTGCAAGGTGAACAGGGATAAAACTGGGCCTTTAAAGACAAATTCTTTTTTTTTTTTTTTGTCTTTTTTCCGTGTCCGGCAATGGATCGCAACCCTCAGTGTCGCAACTGGGCCTTTAAAGACAAATTCTTTTTTTTTTTTTTTGTCTTTTTTCCGTGTCCGGCAATGGATCGCAACCCTCAGTGTCGCAACTGGGCCTTTAAAGACAAATTCTTTTTTTTTTTTTTTGTCTTTTTTCCGTGTCCGGCAATGGATCGCAACCCTCAGTGTCGCAACTGGGCCTTTAAAGACAAATTCTTTTTTTTTTTTTTTGTCTTTTTTCCGTGTCCGGCAATGGATCGCAACCCTCAGTGTCGCGGGAACCGGTCTATATGTGGGATCCGAACCCTCGGCAGGAGCGCCGCCGCGCTTCCCAAGCGGCGCACTAACGCAGTGCGCCACCGGGCCGGCCCTAAAGACAAATTCTAAAATCAGAATATACTGCCTCAAAATGGCATAGGACTCTAAGTACCCAGAAGTTCTCTTATCTTTTAGATTTGTAACAAAAATTAATATGAATGAAATAAATACTTCCAGCAGACTGGTGATTATATGGGACATACTATCCAGTATTAGCAAAATAACAAAACACAAAACCAATAAAGTTCCATTTCAAGATCTAGAACATCTAATGATGCCCAAAGAAAATATGAAGTTTCTGCAGCCATGTGAACAATTAATTTTAATATCAAACTTAAATCAGAAATCTTATACTTATGTCAATTTTATAAGTATCACATTGGAAATTAAAAGAATCCAACTTGGTAAACATAATACAGACATTTCTAAGAATGTGTATTCCCTGTACACTCACTACACATTAAGAAAATGGGAGGAAAATGTATGATGTTTTTTGTTTTTTTGTTTTTTTTCTTTTTTCAAGTTGCTTAAGGATAAACATAGAGTACCTAAAGTGAAATTTTGTTTACCAGATGAAAGCAAGGAAAGAAGTGTCAAAGTGCTGTGGAGTAACGTGTGTTCTCAAAAAATAACTCGAGAACAAAGAATGATATGCTTCATCTACCCTGCTCAGTGAAATAGCATTTTTAAATGATTTGAAGTAGCAGGTATAAGAATACTGCTGAAGAAGTGTGGATGCTACTGGTAGTACCAAACATATATAGCTAGGTTGCTTTTAATCTTGTATTTATTTTTGAAGGAAAAAAAGGGCATGGACTTCTGTCAAAAGCTCCTTTATGTATGGTGGCCAGTTGCTCAGAGCAGTGTGACAACACCAAAGTCAAGTATTCAGATCCCCCTACCAGCGAGCCACAAAAAGCACACAAAAAAGAAAACAACAACAAAAAACTCCTTCGTACTCATGTGTCAAGTATGGCAAATATTTCCTTATAGTCTTGTTTTAAAGTCAGTCTTTAAGTGTAAATCTAATGAGGAAAGTGTCCTAAAAATGTAGTTTTAAAATTCAGTGACAAGTATCCCTCTAAAAATACTTCGAACCATCTCTAAATTGCCAGATCAGGGCAAGTAGAATACTAGGCTTACCTGGTTTGCACAGGGCTGGGGTGGCCGCAGGAGCACTGGCTCTTCCAAATGCCACTGCAGGCTCAGCCGGGTGATCTCCCCATCCGCTGCCACTGTTGGGTGGCTTCCCCCACGCTGCTGTGCCATTATCAACCAGGTTAGAAGGGGAGGATGGTTCTCCCCAAGAGTTTTCAGCCTTTGTGTGAACATTAGGCATTTCTCCCCAGCCTGATGAAACTGAAAAGGGTACCAAGGGAAAGAAAAAATAATAAAAGTAAAAGAAAGAGAAAAAGTAAAAATATAATTCAATTTTCAATTTTTTAATTGCTAATTTTTAATTTCAAGATAATCTATCCTCAGAAAGGCCTTTAACAGAAAGTAAAAAGGAGACAAATGTATTTAATCAGATATGTTTAGCTTTTTATTTTTTTCGGTGGCTGGCCAGTATGGGATCCAAACCCTTTGACGTTACTGTTATAAACCGTGCTCTATCTATCTGAGCTCTTTAGCTTTTTAAAGTTGCCATTTTCTTTTTTTTTAAAAATTTATTTTTAATTGAAACATAGTTGATTACACATATTGGTGGTATCCAGAATTGACTATTGGTGTGTGTGTATAATATGTGATGATCAAATCAACATCAATATAAAGTTGCAATTTTCTCGCTCCTGTTCTCCACTCATTTAAAATTAAAAGTCCATTCATTAAACATGAAAGACTCACAGTATTTAGAACATAGTAGGTTTTAAAAGAATTTGAGGGCCGGCCCGGTGGCACACTGCTACAGTGCGCCGCTTGGGAGCGCAGAGGCGCTCCCGCCGAGGGTTCGGATCCCATGGGAGACCGGTTCCCACTCACTGGCTGAGCGAGGGGTGGGTGCAGCACCGAGGGTTGCGATCCCATTGCCGGTCCCGGTCCGGTACGGGCGCGACACTGAGGGTTGCAGTCCGTTGCCGGACACGAAAAAAGACAAAAAGGGAAAAAAAAAAAAAGAATTTGAAACTATGTTTAAAAAGTATCTTGTTTACTTCTGGTTTTATACGTAACAATTTAAAAGAAATTATATCTTACATTATTCTCTTGTAAGAAAAATTTACAAGCTGCAAATATATACCAAAAAATTATTCTTCCTTATATTTTGACCATCACGGACACAGATCAATTTATCTGGGCAAAGAAATGAGAAGACAGCAGATTAAACACATTAAGGTAAAGTGACAACTAGAGAATGCTTCCAGTTCCCATGGTACCACCCACAAGCTGAAAAAGATTGGAGATGTCTTAAAAGACAGAACAGAGTTGAGGAATTATGGATCAAGATAGTTCCGGGCCGGCCCGGTCGCACACTGGAGAGTGCGCCGCTTGGGAGAGCGGTGGCGCTCCTGCCGAGGGTTCGGATCCCATGTGGAGACCGGTTCCCGCTCACTGGCTGAGTGAGGTGCGGGCGCAACACCGAGGGTTGCGATCCTGTTACCGGTCAGTAAAAAAAAAAAAAAGGAAAAAAAAAAAAGAAAGATAGTTCCAACAGGCACACCGACTACAACCCTTTTTCAGGAATTCTACGTTCTTTTGCCTAGTCCTACTGCAAAAGCATCCTGGTTCCTGATGAAAACAAAATAAGGGTATGTGATGAATCTGGAAGGAGGCAGCATTGTTACCTACAGGCACAGAAGGGACATGGGACAAAGCAGCAAAGAGAAACGCCCATGCCCTTTACACGTTGGTACATAAAACATTTTGTATCATGTACATAAACTACTTTTCCACATCAACTCAAATTCTAATCATTTTGCTTCTGTCATAGGCTCAATTGATACTCTTGATAAGTCAAATTGATAGCTTGTATCAGTTGTAATTTTCATTTACGTGTATTTTCTCAGAGATAGAAATGTGACGTGGTAACTGAGGAATAGAAAGCATGTGACTTTTCGTCCAAGACAAATGCTTATGGTATAAAATGCAAATAGTTAACCACAAATCTTAAATGATTTGGTCTTAATGTAGATATTACTATCTCAATTATGAAATTTATTAAATTTCTGACTAAAAATAGCATGGAGTCAGTTCCCTAGATGCTTTTTATTTTAATAAAATGCAGCAATATTGATTTACGACAAAAGGACATCCAATGTATGAATCATTTTAAATTACAAGTTCTATGCTGAGCAATATGATATGCAAATTATTACCAATAACTGAGGAGTTAGCCTTAATCAGTTATTGCAGGCAACTGCTCGCTACAATATTACCTATAATTACACAGTAAACAATAAAGTATATTGGGAGTAGTTTTAAAAATTAAAGGGACAAAACTAAATAAGGAAAATTAACATAGCTGATAAAAATTATAGATATTTTGGGAAGTTAAAATAACTTAGGTGTTACTAAAGACCAGTCACCTGTAGGTAATTAATGAATCCACCTAGAATCTGTCATCACTGTACTTCCGTCTCTTTGAAAGACAATACTATAAATTATTTAACTAAGTCAAAACTAAGAAAAATATTAAGACTATGGTAATTATAGTTAATTGATGATTTGTATAGAATTTTTAATTCCTATGAAGAGCAGCAGACATGTCTATACAGTACCTTTATGTAGAAGGCAAATAATCTGCAGGCATTATGTTTCAAAATCTTAGAAATAAATAGAAGGACACTTGCCTACACAAAAATCAAGAATATTTCCATTTTAAAGTTGATCTCTGGTGAGACTGAAATTTACCTACAATGCCTCACTAACATCAACATCATGTATATGCCATGTGACACGAAAAGCTCAAGAACAGATGGTAAAAACCGAGACTCACTAGATAATTGTGATGCAACGCAAGAATTTTCAGTAGATTGAAAATAATTTTAAATACATAGCATTAAATATAATCTCCATTGTTCAGTGTCTATTGCTGAAGTGAATTTAGTACCCTTTTTGTCCCACTCTTGTTATGCTGATATCAACTAGTTTTCTGTGAGCCTGAGGAAAACTGGTATTATTTTAGGAAATGGAATGTAATTTCATAAATTGGATTGCTCATAAGTTTACATTAAGTTTAAAAGCCATTAGCCATGTCATTAATATTTGAGCCAGTACCTAAAAACGCCAAGCACATAGCAAGCACTCAACAAATGCCTAAGCAATTGAAATTTTAGATCCTTATCTTTATCTTTCTTTCACTAATTATAATTGGCCGCTTTTTTTCCTGCATACCTTTAATATAATGCTGATCAAGCTGTATTAAATTTGATATTATTGGCCTCTCCCACTAGACCACACCATTTCTTAATTTTCAAATCCTGCTTTCCTCGATTCCCTCAACTACTTTATAAAACGTAAGTGCCTAGAAGTGTTAGTCATATATTAGTAAAAATGAGGAACCACAAATTCGAACACCCCAAGCCAGGAAGTGTAAAGAGGCCAGTGTAAGAAGACTAGCAGCACATTAGATATCAGTGGCTGCTGATCAAAAGCCTCAGTGCTGGGAACCACTGGGGGCGGGCAGTGTGGCAAAAGAGAACACGTGGGCCCGTCTAAAGGTAGCTGCTCTAGCTGACTGCTGCTATGTGAATCCAACATGTCAGAAAGTCCATGTTTCCAAAGGAAGCCAGAAATCTGAAATTTTATATAAAACATTTTCATTAAAATATGCTGATTCATAGCAAAAAAGCGGGCCAAAAAGACATGTTTGTGAAACCAGGTATAGCCCATGAACCACCAGGTTTCTGACCCCTGGTTTTGTGATACTGAAGTGTAGGGAGAGGCTGAAACAGTTTTGAGATCCATAAAGGATCCCTGATGTGGCCACCTCAGAGAGGTGAAAGTGAATTGCCAGGAATCTGGGAGGAGGCTGGGGGGAGCATATCCGGCTGGTGAACCCAGGGAGGTTTTGTGGGGCAGTGGTATTTGAATCACTGCAGAAAGAAAGACAACACTCCTTTCACCCCAGGTGCTGAATGCTTATGACAAAAACCAAACAGGCTCCCAAATGCCGAGGCTGCCTGAGCACGATGACAGGTCCTGTCCCCACCCAGGGCACCCAGACTTGCTGGCTTGTGCTCTCTCTCCAGCATTCCCAGATGTGCTCATGGGTGCCTGTCTCCCTCACAAGATGGTAAGCCCCACCAGGCAGGGATTTTGACTGTTTTGCTCTCTGCTGTGTCCCCAGAAACTAGAGTGCTGCCTAGCACACAGTAGGTCCCAACAAATACACATTGAATAAATGAGTATTTATTCCCTGTGTACTGTGATTTCTGGGTCCTGTGAATGCCCATAAAACCCCTCAGGGGTCCCCAGTCAGCTCTCTGTTCCATTCTCTTTAAGGGCTAAGACAGACCTCCCCTCTGCTCACAACTCTGCTCCCACTCCCCCTCCACACTGTGCGGGCAGCCTCCATACTCCCAGAGAAAAAAGAATCCCAGGAGGTGCCCCTGACCCTGACAGCCTGGCCTGCCTGTACACCGCTCTCTACAAGATGGGTGAAGTGCCCCCTTTCCTGCTGGATGCAGGGATCGCCTCCCTTTGCATCCATTCTCCTCTCTACTTGCTCCTTTCTATCAGCTTTTAAATGTGCTCTAAACAGTATCATGTTAAACATCTCTACTCTTGACCTTGCCCCTCTGCTCAATGCCACTCTTCCATAGCTGTACCTTTAGCCAGATCTCTGGCTGAGATCCAGTCTTCCATATCTAACATCTTCTGTCATCTCCTCTGGACGTGTCTGAATTTATGCCTCCTGCTGTGTTCACAGCTATGTCAGTAAATGACACAGTTACCTGCCTACTCACCCAAGCTCTGGACCATCTTCATCGCACCTTTCTTCTTTGCCCCCACATCCCAACAGTTACCAACTCTTGCTGTCACACTGTCACTCCTTTTGAATCGCTGTCTCCACCCCCTGCCACTATCCACTCCAAGCTGCCACCATCACCACCAAAACATCAGCCTGATGTTCTACTGAGAGTGCTTAATACATATTTTTTCTTGTACAGAAAGCTGTTAGAGGATCCCGCTTTACTTTTGCTGGATAACATTTAGATACAATACTACAGGGAGGAAGGGCACTTATTTTAATGTCATTTGCTATAAAAACACTAGTCAGAGCACTTATGCATATGTAGTGAGAATAAACTATCTTTTTACTTGTAAAGGAACATAAAGTACCTTTCATACCTGGACCGAGCAATGGCGATCGATTCAGCTGAGTGCTGGCCTGGTGTGGCGGCGGCGTCTCCACCCTGTGTGTCGTGTTGCTCGTGGTGGTGGTGGTGGCGGTGGTGGTATTAGTCGTGGGACTGCTCTGGATGACCGGGTTGTTTCTATCCCACATGTTTACAGTTTTATTGTTGTAGGTGCTTGGGTCTCCCCAAGCTGAGGTACCATCATCAATTTCCATTTTACGTCGAATGGATGGAGGAGAGGGCTCTTCCCAGCCAGTTGCCTCACTGCTGTCCTTCTGTTTGACTGGTAGTGGCCCCCCAATCCACCCTGTTCCTGTCTGTTTAACAGAAGCAGCTCCTCCCCAGTTACTCACATTGTTGTCTTGGGGTTTGTTAGCCCAGTTCTGTTGGGGGCCAGGTTTTAAAGACTCCCCCCAGTTTGTACCTGGGTTAACTTTTGCATTTGTGCCATTGCCCCAGCCACTGGTCCCAGATCTTGTGGTATCATTCCAACCAGACCCTGATCTATTACTGTCCGCATCCCATCCAGGTCCATTTTTTTTTCCATCCCCCAAGTGTCCAAGGACAGATGATGAATCTGCCCAATCTCCCCTTCCTGCACTCCAGGCTGGATTTGATCTTTGTCCATCTCCCCAGTTTTGGGACTTGGGTTTTTGAGGCTCACCCCAGGTGGGTGACTTGTCCTCCTGATTTACGGTCCCACTCCAAGAATGTCCACTCTTGGTAGCAGCAGCATTATTAACAGCAGTAGAGCTTATCGAGTCCCCCCAAACCCCTGGGCCACTTGGTGCTTTGCTGTTGCTGTCTCCCCACCCTGCATTTGCTGGCACAGCGGCAGGTGGCGAGCTCACCCACCCAGATACTGAAGAGGTATTTGTACTGTTCATGATGGACCCATCGTTCTTCCCCCCTGAGTGTGAAGGCTGAGTAGCTGCACAACCCCAGGCCTCTGTCCCATTGTCATTTTTTCTTTCAGACCTAGGGGATTCTTCAAATTCCCAGGCAGTGTTTTGCTTTACAGGAGTCTGTCCCCAACCAGTATTAGACAGGACTCTTGGGTCAAGATCATTCCTTGGCAACTGAATGTGTCCTTGGTCTATAATCCCTTTATCTCGCCTTCGGCCTTCTCCTGTTCCTTCCCTCCCAGTGCTTCCTTCACTGTGATTGCCAGAACCATCGCTACTTCCTTCACTTGCTGTAGCTCCAGAAGATGCAGCTTTGGCCCAAGAGTTCATGTGTTCACTGACAGGCTGCGTGGCAGGATTCTGGCTGGTAACACTAGGACTATCCCATCCTGTTGATCCTTTCCCACTGATGTCACTATTGGAATGCTGGTTTGGGGGCTTTCCCCATTCCCCATTTACACCATTAGAGGTGCTTCGGCCGGGGTGACTCCAAGTTCCCGACTGGATATTACCAATGCCACTGTTGCCACTGCCCCTTCCCCAAGGGAGTATTCCCGGACCAGTAGGAGGTCCCGAATCCCAAGCATTTCCTCCATTTCCTTCCTTTTGCACAGCACTGCTGGATCCATTTTGTTTAGCACTTAATGCTGAGTTCACAGTGTCTCCATTCCCCTGATTGAACCCAGAATTGCTATTTCCTGTGGCAGGGTTACCTGGGGACAGTCCCCACACAGAATTGCTTATTCCTTCACCACCACCCCCACTGACTTGAGAAACTGATGATCCATTAGCACCAGGAAGGCCTTGCAGGTGGGGTGGGATGATGGCCCCCACACCAACAGCCATGCCCCAGTTTGGCAGTCCATTTGTCTGCATTGCATTGATAGGGTTTGGTGAAGAGTTCATGGGGTTAGTGTTATTTGGTCCATCAGTGTTAAGGTTCTGAGGTTGTACGCTGAAAGACACATTCTGAGAAGTGGACGTTTGTGGTTCTGTGCTCTCTTGTGGCAGCAAGTTTCCCCAAGCACCTAAAGTGCCTGTTGGGTTCCCGTTCTGGTTGCCCATGTTTTGACCTATGGCACTGACTGGACTGCAAATACTGGAAGGGTTGCCTGTTGCCACAGTTCCTTCATGTCCAAGTACAGGCCAGGCAGCTGGGTTGGCATTAGGATTAAGGTTAAGATTAATGCCAGCATTGGAGTTGGAAGTACCCCAGCAATTCTGACTTCTCCCATCTCCAATCATGTTGTCCATTTTTCCATCCCCACTGCTGATAGAGCAGTGAGCAAGACCAGAGTTGGAGCCTGTGGCTACACCCCACACTCTGGCTGCACTTCCATTACCGTTCGCTCCCCCTGCTCCAAGGGCACTCTGATTAGAAGGGCTTTGGACAAGTGTGCCGTTGGTGCCATTATTGCCATTTGTCTTCTTGGTATGTCCAGTGAAGTTGCCCTGGGCACTCCCTGTAGCCATGCTACTGTTCTCTGAGCCACAGTTGGAGGCAGAGTCAGTGTCTGTAGTACATTCTGAGGCAGATTCAGTCTCTGTTCCTGTGATGGAAGGCCACGCCTCCTTGTCAGTCCTATCTATTATCACTTTATCCCAGGTGCAGTTGGCTTCACTTCTGTAAGTGGGCTGCTGTCCCCAGTGGGAATTTTCATAATGATCTGCCAATCCACTGTGACTGAGATCTGAAAAAGATAAAATTCAAAATGACATTTTCCTCCCATTCGTCAATGAATCAACTGTTAACTAGTCTTTGGGGAAGCCCTTTATTTCAAGTTTTCAATTCTGAATGACAAACACTAAAAATTGACTTGAAAAAAGTTATTTGTCTTCTTAACTTAATAGTTCCCATTTTTAAAAAGAGTTAATGTTTCTAAAATTATATTAATTCTTACCACTACAATATACTATCATCCCTCTTGAGAAGAATCACAATGCACATTAGCACATGAGCACCTTTGAAAGCATTTGTAGTAAAGAAAGCTGCTTAACCTAAATGTAACAGCTCTGAAATTTATGCAACTACACAAGTCCTATAAATACACAGACTTTTTGGGAAATGCTAGTGAGACACTAAATTCACATGGACTTTTGAACACAACTTGTAAGTGTCTTCAGTATATCTAATTAGAGTTACACTATTATACAGAGGGCGCACATATAGCTCTTTCAGTAGAAAAGAATTATAAATGCATTGCAGAGACATATAACAGAACCAAATTTGGAGGGTGTGGTGTAGAAGGGAAGGACACAGAGAGAGGACATATTAGAGAATGCTATCCTATGTTATCAATGATACTAAGGGTTAGAAATGTTTAATAAAATTTATATTACTTTATCTGATCTTATCTGTAATTTGGTTTATCATTGTTTCTTGTGCTTTGACAAAAAAAATTCTCAGCTCTCCAGCTGCTATCTTCTTAGATCTCTAAGGATTCCTTTTATACTTGTCTTCTATTTCCTTACGTGATAGTCTTTTCTGCAGAGATCCCCAGAATAACTTTAAATGGTATCTTTCTATATTATTTACATCATTTTATTCTTATGATCCTTTAGAAAAATCCACTATCTTGTATCTGCAGTTTATCTCCTATCATATCCTAATTATTTGAGTATTTCCAATACTACAATCAAACTTATACCAATAAATTTTCCCGTAGACTTTATTTGAAGTATGTATTACTCAAAAATAAATTCAAAAGTAATGTTAAAAAAAATCATTTAACCTCAATATAAAACAAACTCACAGACTTTAGAAATCCTTGGTGCAGTTTCTTTAAACAGTATGATACACAGATAAATTGCAATCAAATATTTTCTTCTCTTTTAGAACCTTTTAATCGTTATGTTATCTTCAAATTTATTTTAACAAGAAAAATCTTAGGGCCGGCCCGGTGGTGCACTGCTACAGTGCACCGCTTGGGAAGGGCGGTGGCACTCCCGCTGAGGGTTCGGATCCCACATACAGACCGGTTCCCGCTCACTGGCTGAGCGAGGTGTGGGAGCAACACTGAGGGTTGCGATCCCGTTGCCGGTCCCGGTCTGGTACGGGCGCGACACTGAGGGTTGCGATCAACACCGAGGGTTGTGATCCCGTTGCCAGTCCCGGTCCGGTACGGGCGCAACACTGAGGGTTGCGATCCGTTGCCGGACACGAAAAAAGACAAAAAGGAAAAAAAAAAAAAAAAACAAGAAAAATCTTATTCATGAACAGTTAAAAGATCGGTTCACATTCAGTTTGAAAGAACAGGTATGAAAGACTAGCATTACAAGCTGATAGAGAAAGGAAGGACTAGCTAATAAATGCTGCTGGACATTGGCTAGCTACATGGAAAAATGTAAGTAGATCCCTTATCTCACATCATACACAAAAATAAATTCTAGATGGAGTAAAGACCAAATTATGAGAAACAAAAGTTTTTACAGCTTAATAAGGAAATATAGGAAACTATCTCTATGACCTTGGACACTGTATCTTCTTACAGAAGACATAAAATGTATGAGCCATAAAAAATTGATCAATTTGGGGGCCGGCCTGTAGCTCACTCAGGAGAGTGTTGTGTTGATAACACTAAGGCCACAGGTTCAGATCCCGAATAGAGATGGCTGGTTTGCTCAATGGATGAGCATGGTGCTGATAACACCAAGTCAAGGGTTAAGATCCCCTTACCGGTCATCTTTAAAAAAAGAAAAAAAAAAAAGTTGATAAATTTGACTATGCTAATAATAAAAACATCTATATGACAAAAGACATCATATAATGGAAACTAAAAAAACAAGCCAAAGTCAGGGAAAAGATGTAGCAGATACAGGATGATTATCAGAATAGAGAACGCCTACAAATCAATGAGAAAAAGACCAACAACTCAACAAAAAGTGGGAAAAGGAGAGAAACAGGCAATTTAGAGAAGAGGAAACACAAATAGCCACGAACATATAAAACAATAATTAACCTCATTAATAATCAAGAAACGCACTTTAAAACAATGAGACATCATTTCACATTCTGGATGGAACTGACACATCCAAAAATTTGAGGACGGTGGCTTCCTCTGGGTTTGGGGTGGGGACCAAAATGAGATTGGAGGGGTAATACCTATAACACATCTAAAATAGAGAGTCCTAAAGCAAATACGACAAAATATTGTATTAAATCTCTGTTGTGAATACAGTTATATGTGTGGACAGTATCTCTTTGGTTTTATATCCATTATGCTTGCCACAAACCAGGCAAACAATATGTTTCTCAGACAAACAAAAGCATAAATGTATGGGGCCAAAATCTGAGTTCTGGCGGAAGTCACCAAATAGCTGGACAATCTGAAGTCAGTCACTTCTCAACTCTAAAAAGATGATGTTGAACTAGTTCAACCCCTAACCCCTAAGGTTTTCAGCTCTAAAACTCATGATTTCTACAGTTTATATATACTACACATTAACAAAATAATCACACACACACAAAATCAAGCAACATATGTGGCACAGTCAGTCTCAACTATAATATTAAAGCAAGTGTTTTTTTTATTGTGATAAAATAACATAAAATTACCATTTTAACCCTTCTGAGTGCCCAATTCAGTAGTATTAAGTACATTCACATTGTTGTGTAACCACTACTACCATCTATCTCAACTCTTCCATGATCCCAAACTGAAACTCTGTTCCCATTAAATACTAATTCGCCCTCCTTTCCTCAGTCCCTAGTAAACATCATGTTACTTTCTGTTTCTACATATTCCAAGTGCCTCCAATAAGTGAACTCATACATTGCTCATCTTTTTGTGACTGGCTTATTTCACTTAGCATAACATTTTCAAGGTTCATCCATGTTGCAGCATGTATCAGTACTATATTTGTTTTTATGGCTGAAAAATATTTATTCCACTGTATGGATATAGCATGTTTTGTTTCTCCATTCATTCAATGACGGACATTTGGGTTATTGTGAATAATGTTGCTATGAACACTGGTGTACAACTATCTGCTCCAGTCCCTGCCTTCAATTCTTTTGGGTATACACCGAGAAGTAGGATTTCTGGATTACATGGTAATTCTATGTTGAATTTTCTGAGGAATGATCACACTGTCTTCTGCAGCAGCTGCACCATTTTACATTCCCACCAGTGATGCACCAAGGTTCCAATTTTTCCACATCCTTGCCAATACTTACGTTCTGTGTGTGTTTGTTTGTTCTTAAAAAATAACAGCCATCCTAACTGGTGTGAAGTGGTAGCTCACTGTGGTTTTGATTTGCATTTCCCTAATGATCAGTGATGGTGAACACCTTTTCATGTGTAAAACAACATATTCTTATAATCAAATTTGTTTATTCTGTTTAAAATGAACAGAGTCAAAGAAAACTACACTGGAAATGAAAAACCATAAAACTCAATTAGTTTTCTATAAATACTGTAAAACACCAACAAATACCATCCTCCTATCCTGATGATTTTGTTTTGGAATTTTCTCCAAATACTTATGATAAAACTATAAAACTATAGATAAGAAATATGAATGCCCAAAATGGGCCAAAATATTAAGTTTTCAACATCATGAGACGATAAAATACAAGGGCAATTTTATTGCTTACAATAAAAATAAACAAATATAGGTCTTTACATTTTAAGCTACATACCATGAGAAAAAGTAACTTATAAACTTCTCTATGAGGTAGTAAAAGGGTAAGGCAAGTAATGAGTTTAACATAGTAATTAAACCTGAAGAGAATAGAAAGAAAAAGGAGAGGAAAAACTAGGTGAAAAATAACAAATCAGTAATGCTAATAAATACTGAACTTCTGTACTTTCATGAATGGCCCTTTGCCTCAGGGCTTTATAAGAGCAAATAAGGGCTGAGGACAAACAAAGGCTAACTTTGGAATTAATGAGATAATTCTGAGCAGAATTTTCTCATAAATTTTAAAATTCCAAATTTCAAGAAAAACATTATCATTGGGGTAAAATAAAAATCACACCAAGGTTTATCCAGAGTATCTAGAGGGATCTGTGCAGCCCAGGCTGCTTTGAACAAGTATGTCAGTCTTCTGAGGAAACAACCACCATAATGACAATGCTTTTCTTGAAATTTAGAATTTTTCAGTCCTTCCCACGTCCTGAGATGCAGATCTCTTAGATGCACAGCAAGGATCCCCACCAATTGGGCAGTACTGGCAGGAAGCTGTCACTTCTACAAAGAACAAGAACAGCACATCCCGAATACCAGAGACACCATAAGGGCAGGACGGAGTATGCCTGGGTATCTGTAGAACCCTCTCACTTAAGAAACAAAACACGCTTCAGACATGCCCTAGTCCGAGCTCAATCACTTCTTGACTGGACTACTATAATGGCTCCCTAACAGGTTTCCTCCCCTCCAACAAGGCCTTCACCAACAATGTACGCTTCAGACATGCCCTAGTCCGAGCTCAATCACTTCTTGACTGGACTACTATAATGGCTCTCTAACAGGTTTCCTCCCCTCCAACAAGGCCTTCACCAACAATGTTGGTCTCTTCAGAAGGTCACGAATACTTACTTAAACGTT